ATTGTTTTGATATATTTGTCTGACTATGAAAAATGTTTTAAAAAACCTAACCTAATCAGTCTGGATGTGGATTTGCCGTAAATGAGACCATAGGTTTTTGGTTATGTGTGAAAATTGTATTTACATATCATAATAAAAATAATAAACAATTAGTAAACTTTATCAGTTTATTCAATATCACAAAAAAAATATTAAACGTTTCACAATAATTAACCTAACAGAAATAATGTGATCACACAAAAACCAAAAGTCAAACTAAAATGTATTAACAGTGAAAATTACATAAACCACGATTGCAAATGAAAATTAGCACATTATCATATTTATTATTATTACAATAAAATAAGATTTTTATTAAAATCAACAATAAGTCTGATAAAAAAAAGTAATAAAACTAATTGGTTAATTAACTGTGTTAAAAACGTCCAACAGATACTACAGGTTTTAAACACAAAAGTGTGAGTTAAATTTGTGAATTCATTTCACATAATTGTATTATAGGGCTTGCCTTTAATTAACAAAGTGGTCTGCTACTTCATATAATTTTTCCATTACAAAACACCAGACGCTGAAACATAAAATATCATATCGACTTTAATTTGAATATATAATTTTAAATATCTACAATAGTCGAATGATATCTCCTGCTCATCTCACTTTGGCTTTTACTTACTTTAAATGTGAAATTGACGAGACTCGCGGTGGTGACTTTCCGACAAACGTTACTTTATCATTAATTAAAAACAAACGACAAAATTACCATGCAGTTGTGTAAAAATTAAAAACATCTCAATATTGTATAAAATAATCAAACATTTATTTATTGTATTTATAAGCAAAACTAAAAATCGTTTCCTACTGCTGTTATCAGCTTATCACGACACCGCTCACCGTATATTATGTTTTTTTTCAAGAGAAATTATCTAGCATATTATATTCTTGGAAGAAAATAGAAAGTAATGGTACTTTTTTAATTACCACTTTACACATATGTAGATTAAACTAGACACCACACAATATATTAAGTATCTCAATCTAACTAACTTCACGTTAATGTAATAGAAGAAAAGCACGGGGAAGCGGCGGTGAATGGATATTTTAAATTAGTACGAGAACGTCTCTTAATCGGGGTGTGCATGTGTGTATGTTTACTACAAGGGCTCACTTCCTGCCTCTAGACTTACTATTACACAGTGTTATAATATTGTATACAGTACATACCTTGTCGTGGAGTCACTCGAAGCTCTATGACCTTGTCGATATTCCTTGAGTATGTGATCTTGATATGACGAAATGAACGTTGTTTTAACACGAATGTTTTCATTCATAAAATATATTTCAGACACTGGTGTTTTAACGTTATCTTACGACCATCTATTTCTCGTTAAAGTGTAATTCAGTACACGGTCTACCAATGGTTTTATAATAATCAATGCGCTTGTCAGAAATAACAACGTCTACTGAGTTATTATAAACCGACTACATTCCTCGCTGACCAAAAATAGTCACATGGGTGTAATAGGATTGTTCGACCGCTAGAATTAATGACCGTTAACGATACTTTTAAGAGGAGAGTAATTGGGTATAGATATATGTATATATAATGAACGAAAGAACAACAGTGTTTTTATTGCTTAATGATGACACGTGTGTGATAAGAAACTCGTACGGTTTAAAGTATTTAAGTGATTGAATTGTAATGAATATAGTATTTTTATATATCGCTACGGACTTGGCGTATGAATGTGTAAGGATAATAAGGAAGGATTATGTTATTGGTGGCCGCGGCGGACTGATAACAGCTACCCGACTTTGGCGTCCACACAATAAGGAAAGGAAGGACATTGGTGGCCGCGGCGGACTGATAACAGCTACCCGACTTTGGCGTCCACACAATAAGGAAAGAAAAGATATTGGTGGCCGCGGCGGACTGATAACAGCTACCCGACTTTGGCGTCCACACAATAAGGAGAGGAAGGTTGTATGAGAGATGTGAGAGAGCAACTGCGCTTCGCTGCGCTGTAGGCTGGGTTAAATAGTGCGTTTCTGTGTTGGTTAAGTTCGTCTCGGATAAGTTCGTGTCGAGTCGTGTGTCCGACCCCTTCTTTAATGAACTTATTGTTATGTAAATGTTACGCCTGTAATGAGTATGTGCGCTATCTATTAGAGTATTTTAAGTTTATTGAAATTATTCAAAGAGGTTCTATATCACACTACGCGCGTTGTATATTGAATAATAATAACATGATAGTTATATAAAAATGTCACATATAGTATAAATTTGAATATATAATATGTTATTACAAAATTATAGTTTAATAAATATAGTTAAAACTTAAACATATGCTTTATGTTACTACATTAATATAAATAAAATGTAATAACAATTATTTATACTTATATTTAATGTATTTACCATTTATATTTTTGCATCACAGCGCTTATTTGAAAGTGATTTTATGTCTTCCAATTATATTATTACCTGAAAATATGTGACATCCCCATCTTTAATATGCCTAAATATTACACACTACATGAAGCAATTTATTTATAACGCTAAACATTAGGAAAGGATAACCAGAAAGAGAAATATAAACAGTATAATATGTTGGTAAAAATATATTTGTAAAAATTTACTTCTTAACATCATATAGAATTTATGTATTGTAATTAAACCTGAATGAAAGAATTGAATACATAGTTTGTAAAAATATATTATAAATTAATTTCGATAACAATATTAAATTAAGAATGAAATCCTTTAATTTTAACGCATTAATGTAAGTGTTGATAATAATAGAGTGAAAAGTTACTAATAAAAAATTATGGTCAACGTACCCTTCATTGAGGATCTATTTCCTAAAAACATGTCAAAACGTTCTGCAAATACATCTTTAAACTTCAAATAAGATTTGAATTTTTTATAAATAGAATGATCTATGAATGTAGATTCAACGTCTTGAAGAAATTGTTTTGCCATTCTATCTGTAGGTTTAATGGGTAATTTTGTAAGCTCTACAGCCGGTAAGTTTAATGATTTTGCTAGAGCATCATGATCATTTTTGATCAAATGTTTTGCTTCTTCATATTTATGATGATATAACAGATTAGCTATCTCATAAAACCAATCTTCCGTCAAATTTAATGCACTTATGAATCTACTTGTAGCCAAATATAGTGTTTCGTTCCAGTATTTTGGGTGTACCGAGTAATTTGGTGGGTTTTGAATGTTTTCCAAGAATGTCCACAAGATTCGCAGCATAAACAGTTTGAATATATCAATAACTGTGTGATAGATCCTTCCAAAATCTCTCGCTGCATTGATTTCGTTACCTCGAGCAATGGATTGTTTATTTGTATGCGATGTAAGTAATTTGCTAATTTCTGTCCACCCGTTTTCCCCAACATATGTGTTGCACAATCTTTCCAAGTTGTCAGTTACTTTAAAATCAGAATAGAATACTTTGGAACTATACGGTTTTTTAATTTCATCGCTCAATGATGCTATCAAACTTTTAGTTTTATAAAGATTATGATCGTATAAATTTGTCAACAAAAACTTATTAATTTGTAATAGTTCTAATGTTTTGCGAGTGTCGGCTGAAATGTTTTTAACATCCGTATTATAGTCTTTGCAGTGCTTACAATTATCAGATTTGATGTAAAAGAAATTTCGACTGTCGCAATTTAATTCGAAATATTTGTCCAGCTCTTCAATGACAAAGTTGTGCATTTGTATAATTGTTTTTTTAAGCACCGATTGTAAAAAACTTTTCAAAGTGTCCACGTCTGGGTGAAAAGTGTTTTGCATTTTAAAAGCCAAATCGTAGACCAGCCATATCTCGTACAAATCTATAAATATTCTTGTATTGTAATGTGTATTGCTGTGTACTTTGAAAAAGGTACGAACCATCTTGTCGGCTTCTTCAAAGAAACTTAACGTGTTGACCGTATAACTGTCTATTGACCCGGGTTTTGACACCTTATAAATTTCTCTGGCTATTGAAAAATGAAAATGTGCTATGAACAGACAACTGCACTTGAGTTCGTTGAACTTTTTGATTCGAAGTCCGAATAGCTTCCCCTCGGGCATACTTTGTACATCGGCCGTTTCTCCGTTGTCTGAATAATCACCAGTGACCATGAACTGTTCATAGGATAACTCGGCTCTTAGTTGATCAATCAATTTTTCGTAATATTCGGAAAAAATATTCCGTGCTTGGAGTGTCACAAGTAAATATACCAGAAAACGTTGATGTATAAACATTTTTGATAATATAGTTTCGTAAAAATGATTAACTTGGACTCAATTGTGTATTTTATACAATCGCGAAACGCAAAAACGAGTACTGTCGGGTATGTACATTAAAATAGTCTTGTGAAAACTGGTACAATAACATGATTCCCATTTCTTTTGCTGGCTATATGGTGAAATATTTGCACAGTTGCTTAGACTTTTTCTGTTGCTTTTTTGGCAACCTAACCTACTTTCCCTACGATGTGGAGCCGACAAAATGTTGTTTTGCAATGATGTGTGTTTGTTTTTGGTCTTTTTTGAGCTTAAACCCACTAAGCCACTGAATCGATATTGTCATGTAAAATGTCCATAAATCCGAAATCGTAGCTGTATAAAATGTTATCAGTACTGTTCGTAGTGCTTGAAACAATATAATACACACCCATAAACATGTATTTCAGATAAAACAATTGAACTGCTGTTCTGCCAAATTATTATACACCTAATTCAATTACACTTAATAATTTTATTGCAATGATAAACTTTACCTATCAACACTTTCAGTCACAATAATTTCTGAAGACCTGTGGCTTCGACCTCAAAGACATCTTAACCAATTTTTAACTCAAAAATGGCGTTGAAAGCCAATGCACTAATAATGACACTAAGTGCAACTGTACACAAGTTTTAATGTTTTTGATAAAAAATTATTCATAATATTTTTAGTTAATTGTTTTACGAATTCATAATATAACAATAAAAATTCTAATAACTAAAAGCATTAAATAACTAATAATAAATAAGTAAAATAGATAACAATAAATTATTTAAACTCGAAATTAATCACAGTGTACACAGCTAAGGAGTAGAATTTCGTTCAGAGGTCCGCGACACAGGGGGAACGGACAGTGGGTGTGGCACTGGAGCGGGATGGTGCTGGATGCCTTTGTAGGTAACCGAAGCCCTGTAACCTGTAACCGGGTCAACGGTATAGGCGACGGTTTGTGTGCGTCCGTCCGGTAACTGAACCCGATACTGTCCGGTGACAAGTCCGCCGCCGTTCGGGTCACGGCGTTCCCATTGACCAAAGTTGGCACCACTGTAGTCGTCCCTGACGGCGTAGTCGAAGCTATAGCTTTTCCAAGACTCTTTTGGACGCTCCTCGTTGATTAATGGCGCAGTTCTCTTTTTAAACGTCACCGGCGGCGGCGGCGTTACAACCCAATAACTTCCATCGTCTTCGTCGACAAACACCTACAAGCAAATTGTAAATAATAATTATGAAATTAATAATAATTTAATAAATCAAACCAGTCTTCTCTTGGAGAAAATACATTGAATCACTGATCTTATGATCAGCTGATTTTCGCTCTCTTATCAATCATGTCTTATCAGTCGATTCTTATATAGAAACCTAAGCGATTAACTTATGTTGCTATCTGTCTTCGACGTATGATCAGAGTTGAGCATCAATTATTTGATGAAATGAATAAAATATTTAAGAAAAAAATAACCCGTTATTTACAGACTAAAGTATAAATTTTAATTTTAAATGGCATTATCCATGATTAAAATAAAATCATATTTATTCAGAATTTGTTTTATTTTGAAAAAAAGAACATACAGGTGATTCTTTAAGCGAAAATACACCTAACATCTCTTAATATAATTGCAATTTCGTAGTGTCTTTGTTGAAAACATTTTCGATTATGTTCTTTTACAATATTAGAAAACTACTAAAGATATCTCTTTTTTTGTATTTTTCAGAGCTCTATCAACTGTTGGAACTTAAATGGTAACGTATAAATTTAATTGGCTTTTTAAATTAAGAATAATTTACTCCCCCTTCTGTTTAAACTTTAATAACTCTACAAGTAATTATCCAAAACTGGTAATCGACCATTCAAAATGTCTAGCAAATTAATCATTATTTTAAAAAGTAATTAAATGTAATAAAACATATATATATTATACGTTATCATTTAAATTTTGAAAATTGATAGAGATCTGGAAGTAAATAAAAAATAAATTAAAATTTGAATATTGTCTAATATTGTAGAACGATATTTCGTGGGTACAGATAAAAAATTAGTAAATAAAAAACCATAATTATAAAATATACCTTTTCAGCTTCGCATTGAAGCTAAAACCACAGAGTTCTATTGTTTCCAAAGAAAAAACCTTTTAGATTAAATTGATATATTGACAGAAATGTCATAAGTAAATTACCAACAGGTAACTAGAACAAAGATTTTTCACTTTCTTCCCCTCTAACCGAACACTAACCTAACCGTTAAAAATGCTTAGAGTTGCTAATATTTCAACCGTAATTGTTTCTGTAAGGTGATTGTAATATTCCTGTGAAACTATATTCAACGTCCAAGTAAAAAGTATTATTTGACAGGGTTAGACAAGTCAAATGACAAACCATAATATTTGTTTACTAAACATTAAATAAAGTTTAATGTCTGTTCATTAATTTTGTATAATTAAATATATATATATATTAAAGATTTGATTAGAAACTTACATCTTTGTCGGTTGGAGCAATCGCTTTTTTGACGTTTCCAGATGAGTTGTCATCTTTTTCGAGTTCATCAAATTGCACCGTTCGGTCTGTTTGCCAGTTTTGTGTGGACGGTAACTTTGGCGGTAACGATTGAGATTCTGACATATTAATAAAGTTTTTACCAAACAATTTCTTTGACCATTCCTTATCTTCGTCGTTTAACTTGTTTGCACGATGAGCGTTGGTTTTCTTTTGCTCTTCATGTTCGAGTACATCTCGCTCGTTGTTCGTATTGCTGTCGATGGGCCGGTTTATAATATTGTTTCTATTATCATTAGTTTTGTGATTAAACGACGACGGTGATTTGGATTTCTCCTCGTTGTCGGATTGCGTGAATACATTAACGTTTTCCATTGCAGGACGGAATTTACTATTGAATTGTTCAGGCCGATTGACTTTTGTTTGGTCCTCGACGCCGGCAAAATAGTAATCGCTGTACCGTTGTTGGTTTTTATGTTCTACTACTTCCTCTAAATCGTGGTGGCGTTGCAAAGGCAAGGCGCTTTGCCTGGCGTCGTGTGAATGATGGCCATACTCAAAGGCGGAGTCTGCGTTTACGTTGTAATTGCTTCGGTTGTCATCGATGGCCCTGTTGTTTTCATCGTTGTCGACCGGTGTAGACGGCGCCCTCACTCGTTGTATCCAACGATGACCGTAGGCGCCGTTCACAGCGGTATCCACGGTTTTTTTCAACCCATCATTTTTCCGTTGTACGTCGCCACGTTGATTTGCATACAGCAAACGACTGTCCTCCATCCCGAGACGATCACTCCAGCCTTTCTGGCTTTCCACAGACTTAGGGTTGCTTCTGGTGTGTACGCTTGGACGTTGGACTTGGCCATAGTAGTCGTTAGAGTTTCCAAAATGCTCGTTCTGTTGCGAATTCACCGAGCTGACAACGATGACTACGACGACCAAAATGATAAACATCTTCGATAGACTCTGAAAGCCGAAATTATCGGTTATACCAAAATCGGGAGAGGTCACAGGTTTTCAGAAATGATCAACAAGCATTGTCAAGATCAAACATGTGTTTAAAATGATTGTCATTTGAGGCGCTCAAAAGCCAAACTGAATAACTCCATAAAATGAAATTTTTAGGTTAAAGTTATTTGAAACAACGTATGCAAGTACAATTGCCAATTTTCTAAGCGCCCTCTAGTGGTGAAAAATTCAACTATGGAGTTATTTATCTTGACCACTGAAAATTGTACACTTTTTTAATCCAACTATTATTCGCAATTTGAAAAAAAAAGTGTAGTCGGTTTGGCATCTGAGCGTCTCATTTCTAAAGTGCTGACTAACCAAATCAACCAACACTCAACAAACCTTACTACCCAACTTTGAAATGTATTTATTTAATAATGACCTCAAATCATCCACTCGCCACTCTTCTCACGACTGTTGTAAATAAAAGACTTTTTAAAAAAACGACGACCAACTCTGACAACAGATAGGTATCCAAAGTAACTTGTACCTCTTGGAAACGCAAATGGAGTAAATCAACATAAAAGCGAGCAACAAAACTTAATTTACCAAATGTTTACAAATACTTTACAGTCAAACCCACCCCATCTCACCAAGCCATGGAATTTCTCTTTTTTATTTTTAACTGTAAATAACCCATTTCATAAGTGTATTTAAAGGATTGTATAGAATGTAAATATTTTGTTATAAAAAAAAAAAAAAATTGTACATGGAATATAATGATACAGTGAACCAGTTTGATTTTGTCATTTTACTCTTTAGTTTCGATTGATTGATTTACTGTGGTAGAATATTTTTGCACAAGACCAATAATTATAAATGTTTAAAACAATGGAAAAACCAACATTTTTTTAAATTTATTTTGTTCGGTCACAAAACTAGTGATTTTATGAAGACATTATTTTTACAAGTGCCATCGTTGATCACATAAAAAAAAACGCAATGAAAGATACGGTTAAACGTGTTTAAAATTGTATTAAATTTAATTTTTATTAAAGTATACTTAAAGAATACCTCAAACAAATTTGAAAGGGTTTCACAAGGTTATTGAGTGCCGTATTTAAAAATAAATACATAAAGCTGTCACAAGTTGACGCACAAGAAAACATATACTATTTTTAAAACCAAATCAAAGCTCGAATAAAATATGAATTAATCGGAAAAAAAAACTATTATTTATTATGTAGAACTTAGTAACGGATAAACATGTTTTTTGGCAAGCAGTAAGGCATGCAACTAGACTAGACCATATTGTACATCCATCATTATAGCGGTACTCTAGTCTTTGTAATTTTATTTACCACATACCGTAATATACAATTTTAAGCTTGACCTAACCTAATCTAATAATATTAGATATTAACAAGATGATGGTAGAAAACAACATTAAGAACAATTTTGTACTTACATTATGTTTACTTGCGAAAAGATGTATTTTTTTTCTTTCTGAAATCTGACAATAATACCGATTCACACCTGAACTACAGTTCTAACGTGTCTGGTCATGTGCACCGAATGTCTCAAGTATTTACCCTCGTCCAGTGTCAAGTGACTACCGCAATTCAACAAACCGGTCCTCGTTAAGTAATTATTGTCTTTTTTTTTTTTTTTACAATAACGGGCTTTGCGTTACTTTCTCGACGGATGATTAATCACAGGAAAATAGCGTACAATTAAATAAATTAAATGTCTTGTGTAAACTCTGACTTAAAAATCTCTAGGAAATTGTTGTACCTATATCGTCATTAACTATAGTTTGTCGGGTAGGTTCTTCCTTTCATAATATTTACTTCGGTTGTCACTATGTTTGATTTATTTGTTTTGTTTTACAATTTTTTACTTTTAAGCAGATCCTAGTTTCAAATCGAAATTAGTAAGGCTGCGTTTAAAAATGCAATACAAAAATGTCAATATAGCTGAACTCGTTTGTACCGGGCGATCTATTTCACCTAAGACGTTCATCAATCAGATCTGATAAAATTTGATTAAAAATAAGAAGAAATTTGAAAACATGGAATATTAGCAAATTTGTTGGGCTCAACACCTTCCTAGTTCCGAGTTTTCGCAGTTTGAGCTTATGTTATATTTACTCATATTAAGTAACTTCTTTCCGCAAACATCTAAATAAAAATTTTGGAATCTATATAATATTACAATCGAAGTTGATTATCAACTGATAACAAAATTATTACTATATAGTACATTTAATTTATAAATTATAAATATAAATATAACAACCAAAGCCGCTACGGTAGTAGTATTAAAAATTTTTTTTTATAACTATAATTCTAATAGCACAATAAAAAATTGACCTTTGAACGCCCATTAGGAAACCGTAAACTTCAAATTAAAAGGAAAATTGGAATCCGTCTTATTAATACGATCTAAAATTACATCGAGTTGTTTTTTATCAAACTTCCGCCAAAACTGAGAAAAATAGGTAACTTAAAAAGTTTTATAACTAGAAAAAAATAATATTTGTACGCCTTAAAATTAGTTGGAATATACTTATATGACATTTTTTCCCGCCCACAATTATCGTCCCATTTTTTCTTTTCTCGTTTTATCTGATAATATTAATTTATAGTTCTCTATTATAAAAAAAAACATATTTTATATTGTTATTAGTGGTAATTGTCAGCTAAGCAAAGATTTAAATAACGAAAAATATGATATTTGATTTAAATATCACACAAAGATGTCTTTGAAATAATAGCTATCTAAATAAAAAATATATATATATCTAACAGGGAAAAAAATGTACCCAATGAACTTAAATGTACTTTACATTATTTTGTCTATTTATTTTAGCTAAAAAATGTCCAAAAAAAACTAAAAATTAGTTTTATGTTCTCGACGAGGTGAGAAAAGGGCTAGAATACTATTATTTCCATCCACTTACTTCGTCTATAATTTAAAAAGCAAATAACACAAAAATTATTTAACACATTACAAACCAGTTTTTGGTTTCACTATACTTAATGGATGAATTAAATATTTAGGTTAAAATTTGACTTCTAAAAGTTATCTTAAACATTTATCCTTTAAAATAATACCTACTGTATAATTGTTGTGTTTTAATTTACTATAGTAATTATAATTCAACTTACGTATATAACAAGCTCCATTTGCCAAAACAAACTGAAATATTTTTGATGTATTAAAAACACTATCTGTACTATTTGTCAGTAAAATAGACAATGAATTGGTTATATTTTTGAGCATGGCATATACCACGAAATGTTTTAACATAAAAAAAAATAAAAAACATTTCATTTTACCACGGGTTTTCAACTATTTTTATAATATCTGCGATAAGTTTGCTTTATTATTAATATGTGTATAGATATATATACAATGTTTATATTTTGTATTTGTTTATACTTAGCTGTGGAAAAGTAGTCTACAATGACAATAACAACCCTTTACCCCACCCTCCCAATAGGTCTTGCCACTATACGGTTGGCGGTCAGCCGCCAGGATAATAAAACATTAGAAGTTGTCTTGTTTAAAATGACACATAAACCACAATCAAACGTTATCCAACTAGTCTAAAAAAAACTAAGTATTAAAATATATATAAAAAAAGGCACATTTAAAAAAAAAATGGTTTTTATACTTTTTTAGGCAATAGAAAATTAAATAAGAATTTTACTAAAATAAAAAAACTAATTGGTTCGGGGGGGCTAAATCACGTATTGGGGGGGCTAATGCCCTTTTAGCCTACCCCTAAGTCCGCCTATGACTAACATACAAATAAGTATTTTTTTTTTTATATAACACAGTATTGTAGTTTTTAATATATTTGTATAATATATTTTGTTGAAGATTCAATTTTTATTACTGTATAAAATGTAAATCAATCAATCCAAAAATACTTTGATCGGTTCACTCTTACTTTCTGTTACTTTCAATTTTCAAATGCTATTTAGAAAGTATATATTTTATAACTGGTCTGTCGTCCGAGACCAATGATAATACCATAATAATATGTAATACAAATAGCAATATGTATGACAAAAACGATTTTTTTTATTCCTAAAGTATTTATAGAAAATATGAATCACGAAGGTAATTAATCAGACGTCAGCAATTAGTAAATGTGATTTTTTTCCCCTGGATGAATGTGAATGTTTTATAGAAATCTAATCTCGATAACTTCACCAAAATATTATTGCAAAAGAACTGGCTAAACAGTTAACTAACTGGCTAAACTTAATAAAACACTAAGGTGCTAATCAATGGATGCAAAATTAACCGAAATACAATAGAAGATAATATTATGCTATTCCAGTATCAATATGGTCGGCGCCTAAAAGAATAAATCGAGTGTTTTAATTATGAAAACGTCAAGTACTCAAGGAAGTGGCTTGATCCGTGTATGATTACACACTAATTAAAAACAACATGATTAGCTTTTGAAGAGAAACCACACAATGTTATTTTTTCATAGTTGATTTCAATGTGCGAAGAAAGTTGTAAAAGGTAAATAAAAAAATTTAATTTATGAAAAGACAATTATTGTTTTACACACATAACAAACCTAACGAAAATGAGAAATTGAAAAAAGTACAATTTTTTTTTTGATTTTCTAAGCAGTTAAAATAATACTAAAAACGTTTAAAATAGTATGTTTGTAATAAAAAATTAAAAACATTTTTCAAAAAATAATTTTCTTTTTTTTTAGATATTGTAATAATAATATTTTACGTTCCTACATTTCTAAAGCTATGAAAAAATATTTTTTTTTGTAAGACATCCTTATTAATTAACTGTTAAACTTATGAGTATTAGGTAAGGGTACATTTCTGTAATCCGAACCAATCTTCAGTGTTTAGTCATCCTTTTTAAATAGTTTTAAAAAATAATTATAATATATAATAATATGTGTGGAACAAACTGTATTTTATTAATATTATTCGAATGCAATAGTTTGTGCTATAAAGTAGGCACGGATGGTAAACTACAAATGGGAATAAATAGTGATGAAAAAAATATTATGTAAAATTAAGAATGGAATGTGCAATCCGATTCCGAAACAATGGCAGAACAGTCATTACAACTATTGTAAAAAAAAAAAGTGTCATAAATATTATAAGCAAGGTTCCGATAACCGTTAATTATGTATTAGGTTTAGGAATTTATTTGAAAACACTTAAAGTCACGTGCAATATAAATATTATTAAGTTCACTGAACGGTTACGTTCAAAAACAATAACAATGAATTGAACGCAAACAAATTATGCGTTCATTGAACTATTAATCCTATAACGTTATAATATATGTTTTAAAATCAGCAACGATTACCCTGAACTGAACGTGTAAAAAATAATTTGCTCGTTGAACCAATGCAAGTAAACGTTCATTAAAATAACACTTTAACGTGGATTTATTATTGGGCTGGATACAAGAAGTTACATTTTCGCGTAACAACATTCAAATTTTTTTTAAATATCAAGTGATAACAGATAATTGATAAGAGATTAGAGCCACGCGACGATTGATAAGAAACAAACGACAAGAGATTAGAGAAAATGATAAAATATTAAAGAGAAACGATAAGAAATAAGTGATAGCCGATAACAAATCCTTGGTTCAATGTTTTGTTTTGTGGAGCGTAGAAAATAACTAGGTTTTTATTTTTTTTTAACTTAACCTTAGTTCAATAAATTAGTTATTTATTTAATAAGTTGATATTAAACCAAAAAATAAGTTATGTTTTTAAACCATTTAAAAAAATCCTATTAAAAACTATTATCTATTTGGAACTTATATTTTTACCATGTAACTTGCAAAATAATAGTTTTATTAAAGAAGTTAATTATTGTGAAGACTTGTAAAATCAAACCTCCACGAAAATTGACTTAATTAATTATCATTGGCGTGGACAACTTTCCTCGACGGAAATGTACACTGAACGACCAACGTTAGTTTAATCATAAATAAATAAAACAAATTGTATAAGTAAAGGTTAAGTTCAAAAAATTTTACCGCTCTAAAACGTTTATAAGCAACAATATAATGATCAAATCATTTTGATACGTTCAGTTCAGTGAAGCTGGTTTCCAAATTATATTTTACAAATATATTTTGTATTATGTAATAAATTTTAGTATTTTAACAGTTCATTTTTGTTACGTTACGGAACCCTGGTTTGAAGACCTGGTTACACTTAATATGTTTGATTAAAAGCTATAATTTATTATTATAACACTACAACGGAAACTATAAGAATTACAGAACAATATATTTTATAATTGAATCTCCTTAAATAATTAAAAATAAAACCACTGCTTATTTGACATTACCGACGGTATACTTGTGTAGGCAGCAAAATGGGGGAAAAAAAACGGGTAGGTATTATCATATGTCCGTTTAAACATAAATCACAGCGACGGAGAAGATTGAATGGGGTCAGGAATGCCTGTTAGAGATTCTTTAAATTGCAGCTGATATACTCCCTTAGAACTGAAAAATTAAACAAACAAACAAAAAAAAACAATTAATACATTTAAGTAATACATTTATTGCTTCGATGCGAAACTGAGAAGGCGTTGTGTTAAATTATCAAGTTCATTATTATCGAAAATTTGATTTTCATCGAAAAATTGTGACTACGTGGCTAATTAAAATGCACTCAGGGAGTAACAACAGTGGGTAACCAGGTCTGAGACAGTGGAGGTCCTTCGTGAACTTGTAAAATCTCAACAAGAAGAAAAAACCCTTCGTCCTAAAAGGGACGGATACTTTTTAACATGAATAATATGTTATAGATGTCACCGTTTTCGCGTTATACATTCACTTTTAGTTAGACATAAGAGATTGGAAATATGAGGTTAGTGTCAATAGATTAACGATAAGTGATAACATATCAGAGTTAAGTGACAAGAGATAACATATCCATGATTAAAAAAAAAAAAAAAAAGAAGTGGCAAAATTACACTAATCGCAGTAGATAAATTCTATCAACAGTTAACATTATTTGCAAAATTGTAGACGGATCATCAACCCTGACATTTGAATAATGAATAATTTTAAGCAGATTTTTCTAAATATTTTTTTGGGATTTTTGTGAATTTTCTACCATTGACAGATTCGCGTCGAAACGTATTCGAAAACGATTTTGGTCACTTGTCGTACTCTGATGGCATATATTCGCCGACCACTACGGTTTTGGTGGAATCCACATTTGCACTGCATATAACCACTATGGCTTTGAAATCTTCACGTCTGTAGTCGTCGTACAATTGTGCACATTCGCCGTTTACACTGCCCTCTTCTTTGTAGTCGAAACAGTGTGTCGCCTTGTATTTGTCGCCGTCGGTTATTGTCGCAGCGTAAAAAAACGGCGCTGTTATGTGATTGCACATATCTACAAGGCCAGTCTCTAGTGGGGCAAGAAAAATTAAGTATCATAACTGAACTATAAGCCAATGTTTACAATATAATCCATAAATCGTGAAAAGTGTTAAAAATAGATAAAATATATTTTATAAACAGAGTGTTGTTGGCAAAATTATTTAGACATATTTTATTTTTCATATAATAATACGGTTTTTTAAATCTACCGAACTGCATCAAAACGTACTGTATTCGACCAAGTACAGTACATTTTGCTTTAATCATTGGAAATAGTATGTTTTCATTGTAATTCATTCCAAAACGTTCTATTTTCTAGTTTTAAATTAAACTAAATAAATATATATATATATAAATATTTCTATTAAATTAAGTAAAAACACTTATTTTATTCAAATGTATTGTGGAAAAAAATATTTTTTGAAAATCACGATTTAAATGAACCTTATCACTGATAAGGTTATCACACATAACAGATTATCACAATATTTTGGCGGGAATAAATTATAGCGTTTGAATGATATCAACGATATTTGTATTTTATAATTACTTATGTTGGCATAATGTAAGTAAAGACCGCTTTACATAATATATTTAAACCATATAATTTAATAAAATATAAGATAATATTGTTTTTTTTTTCAATCGTTTTGCATCAATCAATTTTCCTTCCTATGCCGTTTACATGAGAAATTGTTCGTTTTAAAAAAAATAGATGTAATTAGTACGTTTTGACTAATTTTTTTTTTTAGTAAATAGCACTGAACGACTAGTGTAATAAAAATATATTACACGGTTACGCGTTATAGTGTTTAGATAAAAATTGACACTCTCGAGACGGTAATTTATACTATACAACATATAATTATACCCTAGCGCGTGTGCGTGTAAAACAATAAATAGTTTTTGAATTTTATTTTTTAACCACTTCTAACGAGAAGATACTGTTTTGACAACAACGCTTTTCTATTTTTAACCTAACCGTCTAGACCAGCGATATCAGTATAGATTAGAAATCGTACTTGAAATATATATTGTAAATTGGGCGAAAAATGTCAACAGTTCATCCAAAAATGTAGGCATGTTTTTCGACTTGCAAATACATAAGTGGTCTTTGGGTTTTTTTTTCAAATTTTTAAGAATAATTCTACTCTGCTTTACCCCAAAAGGGGTCTTCATTTACATTTTGTAAGTTTAGTTTGAAAACAACCAGTCATGGCCTTGAAATACATGCTAACAAACAATTTCTACATTTTTTTTTTCAAAAATCAATACACGGTTTTTTCCATAAAAATTCCACGCGTTTTATTATGCTTGGAGAAGAATACTCGGTGTAATAAATAGTTTCTTTGTTTTTCTAGGTCACAGCTCGAATACTCACGAGTCAAACAAACAAAGAAAAATTCAAGTGTTTTTTTTTTCAGTTCAACTCGTTCAGAAAAATATGCTGTATCAACTTTAATCGTACTGTCGCTAATACTAAAAATATAATGTTAAGCAAATTACTGGCTTTACAATGATTTTTTCCTAAAATTTTAGATACATATTTTACTACATTTGAAAATTTTTATCACCAATCCATATAAGCCTAAAAGGTGTATTTTTGGTATTTTCAAATGGCAAAATATGTTTTTGATTACATAAATTTGTAGAAAAAACATTTTTTAATTATGTTAGCGTTTGAATTTTCATTTATCCGTTTATTAGCTATGACTTTTTTTAAGATACTACATTTCCTCTTGATAATTATCACATTTCTTCGGTTTACCAAACCCGGTAGCACATAACATTCACAATAAAATATATAAAAACACATGGAGGTGGGCATGCGTTTAACATACCTACACCTTGTTGAATTGCATGTGTGAGAATAATGTGGTAAAATTACTTTTGTAACAATCTGGTTGGTTTTGCCCGTCGTTGATGTATATGTCAGCCGTTCCACTCGGTTCACCCATACCAATTATATTAATATTAGTATGGATGACGTCCACGAATTTGGCACAAGAGCGGTTAACTTCATTTTTGGGTCCACTGAATAGCGGTTTGGCCGGGTCCAAGGCTAATGTACATTAAAGTGATTTATTATTTTTTCTAAACAGGACAAGCCCAAAGTAAAAAGTTATCTAATAAAGGAGACCGGCCTAATGGGACATACCTACTGCTTAATAATTTCGAAATTTCAAAGAAAATAATAGTAGCTAACACTTGAGACTTAAGATGCAAATTTATAATATTTCATCACCTAAATAATAATTTAATTAATATAAATAACATTTTAAAAATTCGCTTTTTGAAAGATTTAAATTTCTAGTAGGTATATAATATTTTAATCCTTTATTTTTCATCACAACAACAACACCTACACATGTTTTAACGAAACTATAAACAGGCGATCAGTATAATTTATAATCATGTATAGGAGATTATAATTACTCAAGTATTTAAAGAGTCTTTGATTTTTAAATATCATTATTTCTTATCAAAATCAAAATGTGTCATATTATTACCTTGCTATGGTATATTAAGCCAGTCTCCTCTGTACATTAAAGTAAATAATTTAGAAGATAACAATATGTAAGAACAATATTTTACAAGAACGACTGAAATAGCTATTAAACAGTGAACAAGGAATCAAGATGTACGGAACATGAGAGCATTTTTATAGAAGTGAAATGTGGATTTTTTTTTTAAATTTGTTTTTTTTTTTTTAATCGTTTCGAAAATTGCTAGTTTTTACATAACCAAAAACGGATTTTTCACATTTTTCTGTGTTTTTTAATATATATACTAAACGATGTAGATAAATTATGATGCTAGATTTGAATTAAAATAAAAAACAGAATTTAAAATCAATGAAAAGTACAGAAAGTGTCGCACTGTTCCAAAACAGAGTCCCGAAAAAAGGTTACTACTTTGACGGTTTTTTGGAACGCATTTATACATCCTCAGAGTGCCAAATTTGGATAAAATAGCCTTAGTTTGGTGTTTTTTCACTTACCAGTGACTCTGTCCAACATGATGTCTTGGTCAGCCAGTATAGTTCCCACTTTACAGGCCACGTGGGCTCCCATGCTGAATCCAATCACGTGGTAATTAGTTATCTCTGCACGTAACTTCTTCAGTAAAGCGATACACTCTGCTATGATTTTACTAATTGCTGAAACGGCACAAACAGATTTCACATAACCCTTAGCAGTGTTGGCGATTTTGAAATAATCCACCATGATAACGTTGCTGTCGTCTTCTTTGTTCTTGTACGCTGGAAATGTATACACAAGTTTAAAAATCACTAATTTGCCAATAAGTGCCCAAGTACTTTAATACTTTTGAAAAGTATTGTCGACAAGAAGGCAAATATTAGATATTTTAGTCTATTATCTATTAACAGCTTCAGTTGCATAATTTATACATATATATAAATATATATATATATATTATAATTAACTCCATAAAATGAAACTTTCTTTTCAGGACTGGCAGTTAAAGTTATTTAAAACAATGTATGTAAGTGCAATTGCCAATGTACTTAGCGCACATTAGTGGTGAAAAATTCAACTATGTAGTTATTTGTCTTGGCCACTGAAAGTTATATACTTTTGTAATCCAACCCTGCTATTATTCGCAGTTTGAAAAAAAAAGGAGTTAATTGGGTTGGCATCTGAGCGCCTCAATTGCAAGGCTGATGATTAGAGTAGTTATTATTTGATTATTTATTATTATTATTATTTGATTTGTTTTAAAGGTTTAAGCAATTAAAATATAAGCTAAAAGAAATTTAAAAAAAAAATTAACTTGTGTTACATTTGTCCCTTACTGTGGGTACAATTGTAACACTTAGTTTGTTTTACTTTTAATCTCATTTATTCGACAATTTGTGAAAAGATCAATACTCGTACATTTATAATGGGATCATGTTACACAACAGATTAAAAATGTAATCAAACAAAATAAGTTAGAATCCTAATGGAAATAGATCATTTTATAAAAATTGGTACAATTGTACCTGCAGTCTCTCCTACTACACTCAATATTTCATAACAATAGTCTGTAAAAAAATTATAAAATCTAGGATTAACTCTCACAATAATGGGATGTACTATAATTAGCATGCAACATGCTAAAAAGCTTTGGCCTCCCAGCTCAAAAACGACACAAAATAGCGTCACGAAAGTAGCGCACAAGTGGCACGATCTAGCGTTTGTTTTTTTATACAATATGTATATTTATATAATATGTTTATAAAATGTCTTGAGGCAAGTCTTTTAAAGTTCTTAGATCTGAATGTGCATCAAATACCTACCTAAATTATTTGATTGTTGTGTACAATTATTACTTACTTATTCACAGTCATATTTTATATAATAGATAAATAATTGATATACATTCATATTGTTTTAAGTGAACCATGAAAGGTACAAATCCATATTGTATTGATATTATTTTTAAATGGATCACCAAATATTCATCTTAATAAATGAAAATAATTTCACAACGAGCACAATTCAACGAATGGTTAAATTTTTCCAAAATAACTGACCGGGTGAATGTTGCCAATAAACCGATTAAGGTCAAATACTGTTAAAAAACTACTGAATAAACATTTGGCCACAACATAAAATAATTAAGACTATACTGTTATCATACGATATCGCAAGGAGATTATAGATCGGTATTAATCATTGTTTTCAAGAGCCAGCAGACTAAAGCATGTACCATGTTTTATAATTTAAGCCTCACGTCAATGAGTAAACTGTATTTTTTTCATAAGGCATTTATCATTTCACAGTTTGCTTTACAGCGGTTCAATTTGATGGGAACAATTTTATTTTTGAAAGGTTTTTTAGGGGTTTTCCCGACTTTGAATCTATCGGACAAGGTTGGATAATATCATCTTTTGGGCAAAACCCAACCCGAATTTTGTCGAACCGCGTTAGTTGAAAATTGGTTCGAAAACATTACAATTTTTTAACAACGTTACACCAAAAAAGTTTTAATCTTCTATTTGAAGATTATAGACATTTTTTGAAGTTTTATTGCCAGCAGTTTAGAGCAACGCACGTGTGCATGGGGTTTTATAAAACCAATAACGGCTATTATTAGACCTAAAAATTTTAATTTCATCGATAGCAGTTTAGAGCAACGCACGTGTACATTTTTTCTCATATTATTATTCCGAAAAAAAGATTACTCGCTACTTAAGAGCCGTTATAAACTGAAATTGGTTTTCAAATAATCAGCAAGCAATCATGAGATACAAAAAGCACACACTAGCGGTGTGGTACAAACGACGCTATCTCAAAAGGCACATTATACAATATGGTTTAAAGACATTTTCGGCACATTTTTTACTTCCACTAAAATATGCAAATTGTTTATTATATTTCGACCTAAAAGAAAAAAAAAACATATAATGAATTGAATGTACTTCAACTGAGCTAACATAACCTACTATTTAAAAAATAATAGATTTTCAGCCTACTCGCGCATATTTTTTTTTTTTTTTTTTTGTCATAAAGTGTTTCTATTAAATTTTGTTTTAAATTATAATTCCATTTATTTTGTACAATTTTCAGTGAAATTTACTAAGAAAATTGTTTTGGTCTAGTCTGTATTGAAACAAAACATACTAATTATTTCATTTTTTTTTTAACTATACTACTGCAACGAAAATTAAAAACAAATTTTTCCCTTTTTGCCAATAATTTTTATTGACTTTTAACCAAATTACACAAATGACGATAATATTGATAAAAAACAGTTATGTCAAGTGTAATTTTTTAAGAGCTAATAGTCAACTTGACTTTTTTTTTACAGGCTTATTTTACAAGGTAATTTTTTTTGGGGGGAGGGACATTCAACATCTTACTGGGATTAGTTTTTTTTTTTTTTCATAGTGTTTTTATATAATGTGATTTCAATTTTATATTTAATATTGATGCATACTTTTAGGTTTTATTTTTTATACATTTCAATAATAAAAACTGATTTGAGTATAACTTAAATAAAAACTCAAAAATGTATTTTTAAGTACTTAATTCGACAACGTATTTAAATATCACAATGTTAACAAGTTATTAGGTATGTCTGAGAGTGAAAATCCCTCACAGATCTGCATCTAAATTTTTAAAATCAATATCTTTTCATTTCGGTTCCTCTTTCAAGCTACACCTTAAATTATGTATTTAATATAAAAAACAAATCACAGTGTATAATACAAACACCAATAGCCTCAATTACGGTTAGCCAATGAGGGTTAATAAACTAACTGAATCAATAATACATTAAACAAATATAATAATTGTATTCCCGTTATAAGCTCTAACCACGACAGATAATAGCCACATCATATTACTGTTTTTCTATTTTGAAACTATTTTTTTTTTCCACGGGATAACTAACCCAATGTGTCTATCGGTTTTTTTAACGATATCGACCCTCAGACCACTCTGGGTTCAACTCACCTAATCGTATGGCATCCATGGTTTTGTTGTCGTGATGTTCGGAATAACCGTGTACGATGAACACAATTTTGTCACTACCTTCTGCCAAAGGAGCGTTCAGAATGGTCTGCTCATCGTTTGTATCTATCGGAAACAACGCCGTCTGTCTGAGGGGCGAAAAAAAAAAGTCAAGCAATTTATTATAAAATTACACTAATAGCGAATAATGTTATTGTTTTATGGCCAATTTACTTGGTGTATAAAAAAAAGTCCACTTCTTTTTCCGCAATCACGGGCGGCTCACTGCACTCTTCCGTCGCGGTTGATAGTTTCAACACCGAAAGTGCTGCCACGGAAATACTAACATAATAACATAGCAGATGCATTGCGCCAATAAAGTTTTACTTAAAAATTGTTTTTTTAACGACACAAATCAATCGCTTTTCGTGTAGGAAACGACTTTTACCGGTTCGAGTTGGCAATCTAGGTAAATTTTAGGAAAAGACAAAAAAATAAACCATACAAACTAATGTGGGAAGATTGCTTTGATTTTTTTTTTTTTTTTGCAACCCAACGTTTGCGTCTAACCTACTGTACTTGTTTGCCGTTCGAACAAACTGTTCAAACAGCAGCTATCGTTAATTTTGCTATAACCCACCTAGGTGTCACTGGAAACAAAATGATGAACAGAACACAATACAATAATTTATGACCTGCGTTGTGTGGATGAATATCATATAATATTTATATTATTGGCTGAACATTTAACCAGATGTTGCGTTTAAACAATATTACACCATGACATTGTGTGACGAATGGCAATGAAACGATGCTACATATTATTAGGTATTATTTTACTTAAAAAAAAAATACTTGGCTTAAAACAATTTGCTTTTACTTTTTTCCGTGCGGTATAGTTGTTTAATCAAATTATTATTATTAGTATATTTTAATACCTTTTTAGTTTACAACTTTGGCTGCTATAAAACGCATTTTACATATTAATGTCTTCTACTTGTTCACCGTCTTCGCCTTACACTCCAAACTACATGGGGTCGGCCACCCTAGTCCTACATGAGCTACTGTATTTCATTAATTTTTTTAGCTTCGATGCGATAGCTTAACTAATTCAACTAACTTAATTGAATCATTGATTGTTTTTGTTATGACAGTCTATGTTAATACAGTTCGAGTACTAATATGCCACACGTTTGTGTGGTTTTTTAGGTGTCTAATTTTTTTTGTATCTAATATTTAAACACAATTTTTTATTTTAATAAGAAAAAAACATAAACTACGATGATATTTAGTTGTTGTTTTTTTTTTATAGCAAATACCTACGCATTCGGAAAACCTAACTTAACCTGAAACCATGCAAATCGAATTATAAAATATCATCTAATTACTTTATAATATATAATATAAATGATTAACCGTATTTTCTGCCGCCTAGTTAAAGTAATAAATGAATAAATATTAATCCTGATAATGTAAACAACAATTACAATTCATGTAGGTGCGTGAATTGTAAATTATATTGTACTGTAAACTACAATTTATTTGAGGTTATGAAATCCTTACACAATACTGCTATTGTACTGCGCACATGACACACTGGCTCCTTTGTACTTGGTGTGGACTGTACTGGTTAAACTGTACTTGGGTTTTTTATGTTTACTGTCAAATCATTTCACCCTATTTCCTGCAAAGTAATAGCAGAGAAGAGATTATTTTTGACAGTGTTTCGCAAGAAAATCCTGGCGTCTGACCTAAACAGAAAACCCAATGTTTTTGGGCTGATGCAATATATGTTTAACATTTAATGTTTGACTTGTACTTTTTAAAACATACACAACTCGGTGGGAGAACAATTGTTGAAGAAAAAAAAACAAAACTGTACGAACTTAGCATGTACAATTTTTATCAATAGGATTATTGCAACTATAGTTTTGGCGGTGGAATGGAATATAGCGAAGGGTTTGCATGTCTTACCTGTGAAAACTAGGCACTGTGTCAAATTTTAGTCAAGGGCGTCTAAATCTCTTGCGTCACTGTGTAAACATTCGAGTACAATTTTAAAGATTAAACGATGATAATAATCATAAAAACAGTTACTCCAATCTCATATTAAACACTCGACCGAGACAATGTCAAAACTATTTTGCAATTGTATCCGTTATGCAATTAGGATTAGCGACATTTCGAGTATTCGACAAGTGTCGAACACGATACTTACACGAGTGTTACGACCCGACCCGTCGGTATATAAGCTTTCCGGTTTTCACCAAAATGTCTTCATTTGTAAGCCAACCTAGGCAATTCCTCCGTTGTTAACTGTTATTGCCCACGAGTACACTACGACGATGGCTTCTAAAATTTTTAAAGTATTGGCTGTGATTCCGCTACTGCAATGTGCTTGTTACGGCCAGCTAATCGACATCGACATCAAAATCGACGACGGCTTGTGTTCGTCTTCGTCTCAAGACGTTGACGTACTGACGACTTTATACACCAAGTAAAAAAAATAAAATCCTAAACGATATTTCCAACGCATATTATGTTTATTATACTTTTACATTAGTCTTACATACGCACCGATCACAGCCGATGCGAATACAGTGGCGACGGCACCGTTCTCGGGATACGACGAACTCGTGGTGATCATCCCGGACTACCACGTGCCCTCTGACTCTGCTGAAATCACTGGCCTCAGAAACGGTAAAATACACAAAATGTTACTAAAAAACCAGTGCGGTCTTGTGGTATAGAACTTTGGGGTTCGGCAAAAATATCCAACACGAACAGAATCCAAGTGTTCCAATCCCGGGTCCTTCATCCCGAGTTCCACAGAGACACTCAGGAGAGTGTCTCTGGACCCTGCTGTAGTCGAAGTAGCCAAAACTCATTACAAAAGATTCCGAAATAGACTCCAGGGACATCGTCCTAATCCTTTAATTGCCGACCTGGTCTCCGATAATCTTCCTGCTAACCTAAACTCCACTCTTCCAGCCATCGGAGTTCACTAGATGATTTCTTCAAACAAGCGATACGCTGCGAATTGTATACATTAATCATATGCTTATTGTACGAATATTGTAGTGTACAGATTGTATATTTTTCTAATAAATACATTTAAAAAAAAAGTTATCCTGCAAACGGAATTTTTAGAAACTAGCAGACAATGATCACCAAATGCCTTTCTGTAAATCTGTATAAAATTAATTTATTCGATAGTACCCTATTCGGAGGAATTTACTTGCTCGGTATAAAAACTAAGCGGGTGAGTATTAGTGGATTGACGTTTCACAAGACCATGTTAATTAAAATATAAGGAGTTTTTAAATAAATAGGGGAGAAACGGAATCATTCGTTTTTCTAATAATTTAGGTTTATTTGGAAATCTGCCAATAATGAAGTACTGATTTTTTTTTGAAAAAACTGTTGAACTCGACGGTTGTTTTCAGCGTTACTAAGAGCAAATCGATTCCTCAACATCATTGTGGCCGACATACGTCCGGTGTTAAGCGCATTGGTGGGATTTGTCGGGGCTGTGGTCGATGGAGTTCTACAGGTGGCCAATGGTCTATTGAGATTACTTCGAATCGTGAACGCCTCAAGAAATGAGATTAGGAAAACACGTGCCATCGGCGTTGGATTAGGAGCACAAATAGCCGGAAAATTAGGAAGTCTGCTTCTGCTCGAAGGACTAGTGTTTGATAGAGTCACGGGTAAATATAATAATAATTATGTCGTTATAATAAAAAAAAAAACAATGGGTATATTTTATTTACTACCCTAACTGTTTTTAGCTTTGATATTGTTTTTATATTTGTGTCTATATAGATCAGAAATCACATTTGTAAGGTACTTTATACAGCCAAAATTTTTTTTAAAAATCCACCTTTTCCAGGTGGATAAAAAATTGGGGAAAAAACTAAAATTCCTAAATAACATCTCAAATGTTTGAGAAAAAAAATAGGTTTATAATAATATTATCAATAACAAATAACGATATGGCCTTAGGCTAATTTTACCCCTTTAATGTTGTCTAATTAAAAACATATGAATCGTATCTTATATTATTATCTTGTTGTTAGCTTTAAGCCCACAGGGACCTTTATTCGATGAACCTTTAATATCTACACAAGTAGGAACATTTGTGGAAGTTTATCATTCAAATTCTGGTGTCCTTGGACACGTGGCATTACTTGGACACCTTGATATCATACTATCAGATGGAAAACTTCAGCCCCACTGTCCTTCAGGTAAATCACTGAACAAATATGTACTTTTAATCTTTCATTAAGAATCAATTATGCAAAAGAACGATGGAAATTATGTAGCTGTAATAAATAGTATAATTGGATTTATTAGAAAGAAGCTACAGGAATGTCTCGAGACGGGAACTATAGGAAGAGTTAAGTTTAGTCAGAATTAGAAATGAGTAGATAGTCTGAAGTACAAGGCACAAATTATGTTGAGGGTAAAACTTAATCAAAGAAGAAAGGGGAATGCAAATTTAAATGGATACAGGATGGGAGTTTGGCTGGCTAATCATTATAAAAAAGCGAAACAGGAGTCGCAGAAAGATTTTGCACTATAAAATGGTCATAATGAACAATCGGTTTTCTTTTTACCAAGAAGCAAAATTTTCAGATATTTAAGATCAACACCTACTGGATACTTTCACTCATCCGAATAGTCTCTTATAGTATTATACTACATGTTATATTATACTACATGTCCAACTTGTTGTTTCTACCATTGCAGCTGCTTATCCAAATGCTAATTTGTGTTCACTAATACATTCGCTGTTGTACTACACCCAAATCCAGAACGGCCAGAGTGTGGTCGGTAAAAAGTGCATTGAACTAGGCTTAAGCTTTCCGGATCCAATAAACAATTGTCAACAGACGTACTCCTTATTCGGACTTTTGGATGTAGTGGTTAAAGCCGCCACTTGTGAATTTGGCGGTGGCGAACTGGTCACTATCGGACGGGGCAACGATTTATCGTAAGAATACAATTATTACAATAGTTAATCAGAACAAACAGAACAGAAACTATATAATTTCTACATGGGCTCTTATGGGAACGGTTAAAATCATGTCCTCTTAGACTCTTAGATTCCCTGATGTTTATTTTGTGATAATGATACCGTTCTTACAGTTATGTGTATTTTTCTTTTTAGACTTCCCAGTGGATCTGTTGTCCAAGTCAGCGCAGACGTCCTATTACGCCTATTGTAAAAAATTGGCTAATCAGTTCATGACTATTTGTCCCCAATACACTTTATTGTCGTTATTAGATATTAAGTCAATTATCTTGTTATTATAGTTAAAAAATACATTTTCTTTTAGAACAGCTTAAAATCGTTGATAATATTTTTTGTGTCTCATTAAATGGTATCACGCAGCAAAATGATCTTTGCTGAACAATCATTTTTTACTGTTAATAATGCAACTATTAAACCACTTATGTCTAACATACTGACTTAACACGTCGAGATGAAGAGGTTTTCACAAAGAACCGCCTTAACTGAAATTGATAAATACTTTCAAATAAATGTTTTGATGCAAAACTGCGTGTATGTATAAATAACTATTAAATATTTACCGTTTCATAACCAGAAAAAAAATAAAAAATTTACAATAGTGTTATTTTATTCTTTGTATGGTTTTACAAATAATAAAAGGACAGCAAATAATTTGAAAATATTAAGTCCAATCATAATGTTACCTGTATATTGCGTACATTAGGAAAAGCGTTTAGTATGATAAACCGGCATTTAATGCAGACAGTGATTGGTAATAAGTATAATCAAGCTGATAATTGATAAAAATCAATTGACCGCGGTTACCATACTTTAACAATAACCCGGTAGGTCATGGTTACTTGATAAGATACCGTGATTACAACAGCCAATCAGAAAACGATATAAGGCACACAACGCATCTTTGATACTGCTTTAAGACACATCTAGTGTTCATTCAATGGTTTAGTGTCTTTTTAAAACTGTTTATTATAAGATATATTAATTGGATTGACAACTCAGATATATTTTGAGCGGTACGCAAACATTTCATACAGTTATGTCTTAACGTTTTTTTAAAATTTATTTTACTCTCAAATGAAATTCCGTTAGGTTATTTCACTCGCAGACACACAAGACACACGGAATAGCAATATAAATACCAAATTTAATAATATAAATATGTTCAATTGCTATTGGTTCAATTAGTATATATGTGCTGTTCAAGTGTTATGTACTTATCTAATCCAACACTTGAAGTTAATTACAGGTAATTAAAATGTTAATCGTGTTAAAATGTTACTACAAATGGAGAGTTACTCGATAATGATAAATCTTCTAATCTTAAATAATTTTAAATTAAAAAATTAAATATATGTTTTTCAAATATTTTATAAATAATTGTTTGAGATGTATAACTACTGAATAAGTCGTTATATTTAAATTATTTTTTCAACGGTATAGGTATTCGTTATCAACCAAGCTTATGAAAGTGATTCAATTCTTTGTGATTTGTTAATTTGGAATATTTATATAACAATAGAATATATTATTATTTTAACAAAATGACGATCGATTGAACTGTTATAATCAAAGGTCTAACTACAGGGTGTTCAAATAATACAATTTTCTTTGAAACATTCATTTGAGATGTATAAGTGAATAATCAGTAAGTTGTTATATTCGATTTTCAATATATTATAAATTTAATCGTATGATAATTAAATGATTTTTGGAGGTTGGATTATTCTAAACAGTTAGCACTAAATCCATCAACTTGTAAGAAAGTTTTTTAAATTAAAAGCTACACTTAAATAAAACTCCCTAGCCTCCCTTGTTAACGTTAAAAATTATCATTTAACTTATCTTAATCATCATCATCGCTTTTACCATTATCAATACAAAAAAAAATTATCATCTTTACCGCCGTAAGAGTTATTAAATAATTATCACTTTTTTCCTGAGGGTCATTTTTTTAAATTGTGATTACTAATTTGTACAATGAAATGATAACTATTGGGATAGTTTTTAAATAAATCAACAGGTATCCGACATAAAATCGTATTTGAGTGGTTAGCGATAAAATTATCACTCTGTATAGTAATTATAATATAGTCTGAAAAAAAACTAAAAAAATGTCGTTCATAAAATAAAAAGATTCTAAAATGTGGCTCTCTAGCTGGCTTAGCATTGTGTCAGGGATTATTATGATACTATGCAGTAAAATATGATCTGTTATCTTTCCATCACTTCCTTCCCCCCTATTTCTTAAGTTATAAAATTACTTAGAATAGTATGTAAAAGTGAAGGCAACATTCATATAAGTATTAAAATATTGAATTTACTAATATGGAGAAAATAACCACAACAATATTTAATTAATCAACTATATGAATTTGTCTACTCTGGGTTTAAAAACACTGTTAGAAAATCATAATTGTAAAATACATGTGTGGTGTACAATCGTTTAATACTTACCAACTTTGTTAAATTGTCTTACTAGGGATTGTTTATTTAAATTGTTGCTGGCTCTATAATAATTTCAAATCTTTTAACAAACAGATCTTATAAATCTTGTAAAACGATACCACTAGTGTTTATAATTTATTTGTATGCATCAGTTGTGTATAATTTTTTAATAATAATTCCTATGATTTTTGGTTTAATTCTTATCGTATCTGATGAGTACAGGGTTTTACCCTTAAAAATGCGTTTCAGGGCTTTTCCCTGAATTTATCCATGTTTTTCATAAATAAATAAATTGATTTTGTGTTTTTACCCTTATGCTGTGCAACTAAGAAAGTAACCATATCTGTTTTTCTACATTTTCTGCGTGCTTCCCAATTAGCCCAACGGAGTGGAATGTGATAATAACATTTTTGTAGGTAGTTAAAACGCATTCCCTAACGCTTTCGACCAACTAATGATCCAAACATTATATGAATATTTACTTGATGTATCGATGACTATTGATTTTAAAACGCTTTGAGTCATCCGTCTTCTGATAGCTCCAAAGTAATTCAAATTAGCTTTTACAAAATCTGCAAATATTCATATTTTTGTAAAAGTCAATCAACTGATATAATTCAATGACTTAACATTTCAGTATACTGTGGTATTACAATTATTTTAGTTGTTATACTATTTACCAATACTAAAACTGCAAATATTTGAATAAACAAGTGTTTAAACTAATCATTTATTCTAAAATTGTGTTTTTTTTTAACTGGGAATGATTATGACTGCACTTTTATTAATTCTAGAACTCAATAGGGATAATACTGATTAACATAATATATAAATTAATTAATTATATATAAAAGAAAAAGTTTCTACCACTTCTGAGGGAAAGGCCTTTTGATATTTTTTTGTTTAAAAACGTTTATTTAAGTTTAAAGTAGGTCAATTTTTTTGGACGTTTTTCTCAGGTTTGAAGATGTGAAATATTTAAACTCGTGAAACAATTAAGTAGCTTTTGGGTACGATTTATAATCTATCTACAGACTTACAGATGAAAATGTCGGTTCAGCGGCTTAAGAGATGTAGTGGGTTCAAATGCGTAAATAGAAAAATTTTAAAAACATTTTTCTATAAGAACAATATTTTCTTAGCTGCGCTACGAAGCTCAAATGATTTATAGGTTACCTAAATAAAAAACAACAAAATCCAAACAGTTGTGTAGCGAATATATTTTATACCATTTTTTCAGCATAAGTAAAATAAGAATTATGTTTTTGTACTTTTACATTGTACAGTGTTTTTATTTTTTAACGATACAAAGCATGTTATTTTATTAGTTTTTGATGTCTACACTTCACACGGTGTCCATCAAATTATAATACACATTTTTTTTCTAGTACAGAATGGAATTTACTTTTATACATTAAACTGGTTTAATAGATTCACTACAAAGCATGCGTTTTTCGATTCTCGTAATATTGTGTTACTCCAATATGTTTTTGTTCGGTCAAGTAATCAACTAGTCATGAGTCTTCACTAAAATATTATAGTACCTTCCAAAATCGCAGAACAGAAAAAAATCGTAACGTATTGCATTTCAAATTGTTGTTTAAGTCTTGAAATGGATCCAGATTTTGTGAGTTATTTTACTTTTTTTTATGATTTGCCATAACCTTGGAAGTTTTAATATAATAAAACGTAGTACTAAAAAGTGAACAAAAAAAATGGCCAATTCGAATATTGACAGTTTTTATTTTTTCGAAACTTAAAGTCCAAAAATTTGATTGAGAGTAGGTCGAATTTGTTTCTATAATAAATACAAAGATTCGAAAATATGTAATTGGTATACGCAGTCTGACCTATGCAGTTCAATCCAACTTGCAATTATGATCTTAAATTTGGAATAACATAAATGTATAATACGCTAAAGATATATCTTATATACAAATCTTAAACCATAAATCGTTGAAATCGGATACAAGATACATTTATGGGGCGGGTGTATTAAAATATATATCGTTCGAATACGAATCACTTTTGAAATAATTATTTCAACAGTAAAAGTTTTTGGTAAAACCTTACAACGATATATGCGTTTATTTGGCTTAAAAAAAAAAATTCGCAAGTTAAATAATGACTGTTAATAATCTTTTTAGAATAAAATACATCTACTTCTCGAGTTTTTTTTTTTTTATTGACGTTAAACAAATAGACAGCGGGGAGAGGTAACCGCTGCAAAAACATGCAAGTGTAAAATTCGCTAACAAAATACCAAAATATATCAGACGAGTATCGCGTTTAATGGTCTTACTTATTTGAAAGAGTAGAAAGTCATATTTTACAGCAACATGAACTTCAAGATGGTCTTTTTCCTGTGTTCAATAATATTTATCCAACAGACATCGACAGAATGGACAGTATTGAGAACATTGTTTGAAATGTTTAGAGAGCAGGTACCTTTTTTTAAACATAATTATTCAGTTTTGTCTGTAACACCAATAACGTATTTTCTATAAAGCACAATATTGATGAGGTTTTTTTGTTTTGCTATTATTCCAACAGACAGTTGAAATTACAGAGCGGGTAATATTTTTTATAGCAATTGTCTAAAATTTGCTAAAATAATTATTAGTTTTTGTTATAACACTAATAAAAACGATTTATGATATTTTTATAAATAGAAAAAAAATGTACTACGATAACAAAAATATAGGCGTAATATTTGATAATACATTTCAGGATTTTATGGAGGTTCTAGTAGATATATATGTGGCTATTAAGAACAATAATCCAGATAAATTAGTAACACGAGAATTGACAAAAACACATTTCAAAGCACTTGGTATTCCGGATTCAGATGCCGAAAATTCAGTTCGATTT